TTTCAAAATCTTTACACCTGTTCAGCAAATGCATTCTCACCGACTTTTGCGAATTTCGAACACACCCACACACACACACACACATACACAACAAATCAGGGAGTTTATTTTTTCTAGTCAAATTTGTGTTTCGTCCCCGCCGTTAATTTGTTTTGTTGTTCTCGTTGCCTTTGCGCGTTGGTTGGACACGGGACGAATCACTGACGGTTACGATCATTTGATCTCAGTGCTCGGTAAAACCTTACCCCCCCCCCACACACACACACACACACACCCATCCCAACCCCGCTCTTGCCTGCATTTAAAAAAAGGGCAGCTAATCAATTGAGTGCGTGGCGCCAATCACCGAACGCAGAATGTTATTAATCATTCTCATATCAAAATTCTCTGTGCTTTAAGCTAAGCAATTTAATAAATAATAATACTACGCATACATAAATATTCAGATATATATACAATTATATATATATATATATATACATAAATATACACATACAATATATATTTATATACAATACTTACATATGTACTTGCAAACAAAATCATAAAACATACATACATATACTGTGCTTTATACCTACGAGTAACTTTATGAAGAGCTCCAAATTCTATTGTCAATAAAAATTATACTACAACCAAGGCGTGTAATTTACGATACAAATGCCGCGAATATCGTAAGTCCATTTGACTTTGGCGCGTGTCACAATTAGTAAACAAAATAATCGGTATCGATGTTTTTGGCGAGTAGCTCAGTGAACAATTAAGAATCGATTAATCGATTGCGCGCGAGGCGTTAATCTTTGAAACCAAACGTAAGGGAAAAAGATATTTGATATATGTTATAAATGCTGATTTATTAGCTCGCAAGGCAGATAAGCTTTATTTATATTTGCAATTTTAATTAACCTCGTTCCGGAATATTTTCCGTGCATGCAACAGCTGCAACAGTTAATTGAACACCTTTAAACGCGAGGGCTGTCTTAAATATTATGCGCCTTATAATAAAAATCGATCAATTATAATTTTATTATTTTGTACATTACATATAAGATATTAAAATGCATTTTTTCAACCGTTTTCGAAGCTCATTCAGCCCCATTCAAAAGCTTTCCATATAAGAGCTTTATTTTCGACCGATCGTCGATAGATATAGATATATAGATATATAGAGACGGAAGAACTTGACTATAGCGATCCGGCGTTCTTCGTTGCTTATAGTCCGATCTTTATTAAAAAAAATACCAAATATATCTCTAAATAAATATAGTTTCCCATTTAAATGGGAATCGGCGAGATATTCGAAATGTGAAATATTCCCAATCTATGTATAGCAGAATCTGAGCACCAAGTTTTGTGGAATAATATGATTAGCTCGTTCTGTGGCTAAGATTTTAGTTGCCGGGATTGAGTAGTTGCAATTATCGAGCGATCTCTGTACTGTATCAGGCAACCCTCTTGGCTATTTCTATGGATCGAGTTGGGGTTAGGCCGCGGGCGGGGCTGAGTGCCGGACTAGTTAATCAAGTGCGAGCCTCAGCTAACAGCCAAAAGTCATATAACACTGACTAACACAGATATATATATATATACATCATAAATAATGCTAGTTCGAGAGGTAATTCATTTTTGTGGAACAGCGACGGCTGGTCAGTCGCACGAGGGACACCGCGCGGATTAGGTGTTTGAGCACACTCGAGACGAGACGAGACAAGACGAGAGGAGATGATGATGCTTGTCCAGATCAGGGGTATTCCCTGGGCGCTAATGCTGCTTATCGTTGGCGCCGGCCACTCGCTGGCCGCCGAGGATCGATTTCCTGTGTCCCTAATACACATTAACGACTTCCATGCCAGGCAAGTGCCTGGCCAGCATTTAATCGCCGAAGTGTGCCGTAAACAATCATAATCATGCGCAGCGCTTTTATCAGGCACTTGTGCTGTCACACATGTGTCCGATAAGATGCCAGCAATCCATATCGTTCGTATCATAAAATATACCAATGTCATTCATTGAGTGCCTTCCGCCACCAACCAGATTCGAGCCAACCGACACCAGCGGCGGCATCTGTGATGCGGGCGAGGAGTGCGTCGGGGGCTATGCGCGCACCGTGCACATGGTGCGCCGGCTGCTGGAGGAGCAGCGCGATCTGAATCCCATCTATATCAATGCGGGCGACAGCTTTCAGGGCACGCTCTGGTACAATATCGGACGCTGGAATGTTACACAGCAGTTTCTCAATATGCTGCCCGCCGACGTCATGGTATGTCTGAACCTGAAGCTGTAGATCTCCTGGTGCCTTGCCTTCATGCGATTCCTCCAAACATTTTACGCAGACGCTGGGCAACCACGAGTTCGATCATGGCGTGGAGGGCGTGGTGCCCTTCCTGAAGACCATCAACACCAGCATGCTGGTGGCCAACATGGACAACGCCCACGAGCCCACCATGGATGGCCTCTACGAGCGGTCCAAGATCCTGGAGCGCGGCGGCCGCAAGATCGGACTGATCGGTGTCATCCTGGAGACAACAGACGTAAGTGCTCCTCCTCCACCTCCAACCACTCTGATCCTCGCTCTGACCCGCGCAGACTCTGGCCAACACGGGCAAGCTGATCTTCCGCAACGAGAGCGACACCATCCGCGAGGAGGCCCGCCAGCTGCAGGAACAGGGCGCCAACATCATCATTGTCATTTCGCACTGCGGCTACGATGTGGACAAGGTGATCGCCGCGAATGCGGGCGATGTTATCGATGTCATTGTCGGCTCCCATTCGCACACCTTCCTCTACACGGGCGATCCGCCCGGGCCGGACAAGTCGCGCGGCGACTATCCCACCCAGGTGATCCACAGCAGCGGCCATCGTGTGCTCATCGTTCAGGCGGGCTGCTATGCCAAATATGTCGGCAATTTGACGGTCTATTTCGATGACAAAGGCGACGTCCTGGACTTCGAGGGTGCCCCCCTCTATATGGGGCAGGACGTTCCAGAGGGTGAGTTCCTCTTTCCATTTCCTTTCCCTCTCATACCCTGTTCCTCGGTTGAATATATATATTCTTTATTCTCCACCTGTCTGCCTGTTAAAACGCTTCCAATTGAAAATTGAAGGCTATTTTCAGCTAAATTATCGATTTCTGTTAAAAATCGATATATATCGATTTGCCGCCTGACAAATTTTGAAAGCTAGTGACATCAACTGTAACTCAACCTTTTCTGTTATCGATAACTTTGCTATCGATAAATATCGATTTTCAATTATTTAGGAACTAGGGGCATTAATTGTCACATGTGGGTTTAGATATTAAGTTTAAATTTATTTGTTCGAAACCGATAAGTATCGATATGCAGTTTTAAGCATTTCTTGGAAATTATAAGAGCAAGCGGAATTGAAGGTGACCTGTAGGTTTCGTTATGAAGGTCAAACCTATTTCAAATAGGAACTCGATTTGTTTATTTGAAATCGATAAATATCGATTTCCAGCAACAGCTGGTTGAGCACATGCCTGAAATTATATGAACCAGCTTCTTCACATCAAAGTTTTTACACAATAGCATACACATTTTGTCGAAATCGATAAATATCGATAGCTCGCGTGCGTATTTCAGGCGTAGCTCTTATTAGAGCCAAAGAGCACAGCTCACTCTTTGAGCCGTTTTTTCCAGTCGCTTCGATTTGTAGAGAGTGCAGGGTAACTGTTAGTCGGGCACTCTCGCTTGCTTTTTTGTGACGTGTTGTTGTTGCCGCTGCAGACGAGGAAGTGCTGAAGGCGCTGCAGCCCTGGAAGGAGGTCATCGATAGCGAGGGCCAGGTGGTCGTCGGCCGCACCATGGTCGACCTGACCAAGAGCGACTGCAGCGACCGGGAATGCAATCTGGGCAACTTCTTCTGCGATGCCATAGTCCATACGGTAAGCGTACCGCTGCTCGTTGAGCCCGTGTAACTGTAGCTTCCTAACCGAATGCCCCGTTTGCAGTTCACGGGACTGACGCCCTTCAATCAGAACGCCTGGACGAATGTATCGATCGGACTGGCGGCCACCGGCGGCCTGCGCATGGCCCTGCTGCGAGGCAGTGAGTAGAAAGTAGAAAGTAGAAACGAAAATATGGAGCTGACTCGAACAACTGTTCCACAGATCTGACATATGCGCACATGGTGAACATGTCGCCGTTTGAGAACAAGCTGATGGCGTACAACCTGCCCGGCCGGAAGCTGGTCGACGCTCTGGAGTATGGTGTCAGCAAAATTGATCTGGATAATGGGGTGACCAGCTCGTACATAATGCTGCAGGTGGCCGGCCTAAAGGTCACCTATGACTACACCAAGCCGGTCAATTCGCGCGTCGTCTCCGTTCTGGTGCGCTGCGCCGACTGCGATGTGCCCATCTACGAGCCCCTCGAGCCGGCCAAGGTGTACCGCATCGCCTCGCCGGACTTTCTGCAGGGCGGCGGCGATGGCTTCACCATGCTAGCCGAGGGCACCGACATCCAGTGAGTGAACTCATTTAACCTCAATCTTGTTCAATCTGTATCTGTCCATAATCCGCTCGCACTTGCAGAGTCAGCATCACGGATCTGGAGGCCCTGCTCTCCTACACCAGCAACATTGATCCCATCTACACGGGCCTCGAGGGACGCATCACTGTGCTCAACTGACAACCTGGCGCATTTTCAATTTTGTACATAACTATTTTTTTTTTTAATGATAAATAAATGTTGTAAGAAGTCCAAGTGGAAGTTTTTCATTACCCGGACATTAACCAACCGGATCCGAATCAAACTTTAGCCGCATTTTCCACAAAATTAAGTGAATTTCGCGAAAAGTGTGAAACACCACGCAAAAAATTCCGTCGTGGCTTCCAGCAATATCGCGAGGGTATTTAATCTGAAGTACTTCAGAGATAGGCGTTCCTTCTTGTCATCAAAGAAATTAAGCTTGAATTATTTTATTTTAACGTGCTGATAAACTGTTTAAATTGTTAAATCTGAAAAAGAAGAAGAAATGGCCACTTTTTCATTGCCTTTAATTTATTTTCCTCTCATTAAGAGAGCCTTAAAAAGGCTCTCCTATGATTAAATCTCTCTCAAAGAGACAGCAACAGATCGGTTGATAGGAATTTTGTTGCTTGATATAGGCCCGGATATGAAACAAGTGAGATTGCACGACTAGAAGATACCCTGAACCCTGCATTTAGATTGCTGTTGTCCTCATATACATACACTGCCCTTCTCTTTTTCCTCCTGCCCCACTCCACAGGAAATACGTCCTCGAATAACTTCGCTCCTTACTGTCCGATTTTTATGAAATTTGCAAGGCATAAATCTGGCATTGGAATGTGCATAAATACCTAAGACAAAGGCTATATCCTAAAAAATTGGGTTGGTTTTCAAATTTCAGGGGAAAGCTCTCCAAAAAGTGGAATATTATTGACCTAGGTCACAAAGTTGGTCAACCTAGCTCTTAAAAGTTCCGAAATAGTTCGAAAAAACTTATCGAAAATGTTATACCTATCGATATCGCGGAAACAGTCTGATCTATCGATAATTGGCAATAAACCTTAACTCCATAGAAAACCCATAGACCCATGTTCCAAAGTCCTAATCCCCAGCTCTGAATCCATATGGTCTATTGCCTATTGCAAATGTAACACTTTAATTTCCAAGACGAGGACGTGCTCTTGGAGCTAGCACCCTGGCAGGCCCAGGTGGAGGAGGCATCCAATCGGATTGTGGGCAGCAGTCGGGTCCATTTGCAGCAAGCGGAATGCGCGCGTGGCGAATGCAATTTGGGCAATCTCTACACGGACGCCATGCTCCATGCCGTGCGTATAAGTTGTTCGGTCCGGCAATCAGATTTGCCTTTACTAATCCTCCCGACTTTGCAGTTCGTTAAGGAGGCATCCGCGCAAGCGGCCAATTGGAGCAATGTGACGGTCGCCCTGACCAGCCAGGGCAACTTTCGTGTGCCCATACCGGCGGGCGGTAAGTTGACCAGATCGATTCCCAAATGGAACTAAATGCTGTTCCATTCTCGCCAGATATAAGCTACAAACAGCTGGTGGCCATGTGTCCGTGGGAGAACCGTTTATATGCTCTGAACTTGCGCGGTGAGCATCTGTGGCAGCTGCTGGAGGATGGCGTGGCGCCCATGAACTCGAGTCTAGTGTCGCCCACATCCAAGCGCTTTCTGCAGGTCTCCGGATTGAGGATAATCTATAATCTAAGGGCTGAGCCGGGCCAGCGGCTGGTCCGTGTACTCGTGCGCTGTGCCAATTGCGCCATACCTGAGTACCAGCCATTGCAGCTGAGTCAGCATTATCGGCTGGTGGTCATGGAATATCTGGCAAATGGCAAAAACGGTTTCTCGCTGATTAGCGACCACGCCCAAGAGCTTGAGTATGCCCTGCCATAAATTTGCAGATTAAATACATATTTTTAAACATATACCTTGCAGGCTGGGCCCCTTTGATTTAGATGCTTTGATGGACTATATGAATGCGATTGGGCCTATAACTGCGGGTCTGGAGCAGAGAATCCAATTTGTAACTTAAACAAAATGCGGTTATCTTTTTTTCAAATAAACGTTTACAAAATATGGCAAAACTATCGATATATCGTTCAGAATTTGGCCTAAACGTGAAGTTGGCTGTTTTTGGTATTTTCGCTATTTATTTTAGTACATTTTCTTGCTTACCCAGTGCGGTCACATTGTACTTCTCACTCATTCAAAAGTCTTGTTAAGGTTAGGAGTCCGCCTGCGGCACATTTCGAGCAAGTGAGCTTGTTAATTTACATCAAGTTAAATCGGAAGTGTTCCATATACAGTTTAATTTTTGATTTTCAAGTCTCTGTAAAAACAAACAAAGAAAAGCAGTATCAAAGTAAGTAGCATAAACATAAAAATTTCAACTTACATATAAAACCGCGTGTGCTCAAATAATTGCATTATCATTGTTGTGTGTGTGCGTGCGTGCGTTGGTGTGTGTGTTATATAAGACAACCGGCAAAGCGAGCGGCTGTTTTCTTTCTAGAATCTTCTGCAACGTAATGTGCTTCAATTAAGCAAACATAAGTTAATTATGTTCACAATAGACAATATTCCTGCGTCCGACGAATGGAATGTATACCATTCAAAATAGTTGATTTTCGTATTGGAATTGACTTTCCAGGCAGCGGCGCACTCACGTAACAGCGGCGGGCGCACATGTTTTTGCTCTCGCCGGTGCCAACAATTTCACAATTTCTGTGCATGTTTTCCAATTGGACTTTAGATTAATGCATGCAACGGCCATGCACTTGCCCCAAATTTCATAACAAGCCCAAACATTGCAACCACACTCACACACGAACGTTTATATATGTATAGGAGAAGGGGTCAGCGGCTGGGTTACATAAATGATTTTTTCTGGAAGACTTGCTCTCGTTTACACGTTCGTTTGTTATCGATAGACCGCACCGGTTGGGTGGGGGGTCATTCATTATCACTTAGCTGAGGGGGGCCGCGAAATGATTTAATAAAGTGAAATTGAAATCAATTTTAATAGCTCTTATTTAACACTGCAAAATTAACGGGTTGCAAAATTATAGTTGAGTTAAGTTTTCAAAATAGCTGTAAATTAGCTTAACTGGCAACAGTGTGCACGTGTTTTTTTTTTGTTCGTTAACTTTTGCCTGCATTTGTAATTTATCGATAATCGATATCGTGTTGCAGATGTTCCGCCTACCAGTTTCACTTGCACGCACCTCGATCAGCCGTCAGCTGGCGATGCGCAGCTATGCGAAGGATGTCAAGTTCGGTGCCGAGGTGCGCGCCATGATGCTGCAGGGCGTCGATGTGCTGGCCGATGCTGTGGCCGTCACCATGGGCCCCAAGGGGCGCAACGTGATCATTGAGCAGTCGTGGGGCTCGCCAAAGATCACCAAGGATGGCGTTACGGTTGCCAAGGCCATTGAGCTGAAGGACAAGTTCCAGAACATTGGCGCCAAGCTGGTCCAAGATGTGGCCAACAATACCAACGAGGAAGCCGGCGATGGCACCACCACAGCCACAGTGCTGGCGCGCGCCATTGCCAAGGAGGGTTTCGAGAAGATCTCGAAGGGTGCCAATCCCGTTGAGATTCGTCGCGGCGTCATGCTCGCCGTCGACACCGTCAAGGACAACCTGAAGGCCATGTCGCGTCCCGTCAAGACGCCCGAAGAGATCGCCCAGGTGGCCACGATCTCGGCGAACGGCGACCAAGCCATTGGCAAGCTCATCAGCGATGCGATGAAGCGTGTCGGACGCGATGGCGTCATTACCGTCAAGGATGGCAAGACCCTCATCGATGAGCTGGAGGTGATTGAGGGCATGAAGTTCGATCGCGGCTACATTTCGCCCTATTTCATCAACTCGTCGAAGGGCGCCAAGGTTGAGTTCCAGGATGCGTTGTTGCTGCTCTCCGAGAAGAAGATCTCCTCGGTGCAGAGCATCATACCCGCCCTCGAGCTGGCCAACTCACAGCGCAAGCCGCTGGTCATCATTGCCGAAGACATTGATGGCGAGGCGCTCAGCACCCTGGTGGTGAATCGCTTGAAGATCGGCCTCCAGGTGGCCGCCGTCAAGGCGCCCGGCTTCGGTGACAACCGCAAGTCCACCCTCACCGACATGGCCATCGCCTCGGGCGGCATTGTTTTCGGCGATGATGCCGATCTGGTCAAGCTGGAGGATGTCAAGATCAGCGACTTGGGTCAGGTGGGCGAGGTTGTCATCACCAAGGATGACACTCTGCTGCTGAAGGGCAAGGGCAAGAAGGACGATGTGCAGCGTCGCGTCGACCAGATCAAGGAACAGATCACGGACACCACATCCGAGTACGAGAAGGAGAAGCTCCAGGAGCGTCTGGCCCGTCTCGCCTCCGGCGTCGCTTTGCTGCGCGTCGGCGGCTCCAGCGAGGTGGAGGTCAACGAGAAGAAGGATCGCGTCCATGATGCACTCAATGCCACCCGTGCTGCCGTCGAAGAAGGCATCGTGCCCGGCGGTGGCACCGCGCTGTTGCGCTGCATCGAGAAACTGGACGACGTCGCCACCACAAACGAGGATCAGGTTAGTTGATTACCCAATCCCATATTGATTAATATTTAACTCTGTTTCTTCTCCAACCAGAACCTTGGCGTGGATATTGTGCGTCGCGCCCTCCGCATGCCCTGCATGACAATTGCCAAGAACGCGGGCGTCGATGGCGCCATGGTCGTGGCCAAGGTGGAGACCCAGTCGGGCGACTATGGCTACGATGCGCTCAAGGGCGAATACGGTAATCTGATCGAGAAGGGCATCATCGATCCCACCAAGGTGGTGCGCACCGCCATCACCGATGCCGCCGGCGTTGCTTCGCTTCTGACCACCGCCGAGGCTGTTGTCACCGAGATACCCAAGGAGGATGCTGCTCCAGGCATGGGCGGCATGGGTGGTATGGGCGGCATGGGAGGCATGGGTGGTATGGGTGGCATGATGTAAGCGCACCCGCACACACACACCAACACACACACCCATACACACACCAACACACACACACACACACACCATTCATATGTTTAGGCCCACGATGCATAAAGGCCAGGCTACGGGATGCGGCAGCAATCCGCGGGCACCTCCAACTCCACCCACATTAGCTTCTACTTCGGTGCAGCCAGCCCCCCCCCTAGCCCTCCCTCGCGCCACGCCCCCAACGGCACACACACACACACAAACACGCCCGCCCGCGCACACACAACACATGCATTCGGTGGATCCGCATCGGATTTTGTTTCGCATTTATCTCCTTTTTGAACAAGTCGTCGGGCTCGTCTCCTGGCGGATTGGCCGCATGCCCAGGCGCTGGCGTTTCTGCATTGTGTTTGACGTTTCGTTTCTTTTTTTTTTAAAAAACTATTCCTTAATACTATTTTTTACATGTTATATATGTAAATGCAAGAAATACCGTTAGTTGTAAAATAACAATAAAAAAAACAAAAATTATATGAAAGAAAATTCGAGCATGGAAATGAAGGTGTGCGGGAGAGAAGGGGGGTAAAAACGGGTGCTACAGATTCGAGAACCTGCGACTATATAGCTGGACTTTGTACCCAAAATATGTATGTTATATGCCCTGCTTAATATGGCCTAGCAGGGAAGTGTATTAGGATTTGGTCGAGATATGTGCTAAGCCATATATATACATATATATATATTCCTGATTATTATCGAGAGTCCCACTTCCAGGGGTATAAAGGTAAGTAAGGTAATACTCCAGTATTCACGAATACTACGATAGTAATGGGAGTTATTTAGAAGATAACTAAATTTCTGTTAGTGAAATCTTCAAATGTATTATCCAAGATATAAAAAAGTGTGTACAAAATTCTAGATCAAAAAATACCATCTATATATGTACATATATCTACTTATATCTAGAGCGAAAAATACCATCTATATATATGTATGTATAGCTATATCGAAAAATACTATCTACATATATATACATTTGTATATATAGATAGAAATATAGAAACGGGAGTTATTAAAGAGAAAGCTTAATTTTTGACTACCGATTCTTAAAGTTAAGTCTTTAAATTCAATTTTTGAATAATTATCAAAGATATAAGAGTATACAAAATTCTAGATCAAAAAATACCAACTTTATACATCTATATCTAGTATATATATATATCTATATCTAGTATATGTTTATATATATATATATATATGTATATATCTATATGTAGTATATATATATATCTATATGTATATCTAGAGCCAAAAATAAATGCATGTATATCTCTCAAAGCTAACCTCTCTGAACTCAGAGACTGTAAGAGCTAGAGTCTTTAAATTTGTTGTGCAGATTAAGAGTGCAGCAAAGAAAATCCTTGAATAAATTTCGGAATAAACGGAGACAAAGTTCCTGAGCACAGATCCTAAGCTTCATAAACGTTTATTCCAATCCAAGCACAGGCCTTGTGAAGAGATAAACAATTAAGTTAAAAAAGCTTCTAGAATAATCCAGTAGAAAAAGTTCGAACTGGCTAAAACAAAAAGGCCTTGAACTCAGAGACTGCAAAGGGTAGAGTATTAAAAGTTGGTATATGGAAGCTGTAGAGAGAGAGAGAGAGAGCGAGAGAGATGGGGAGAGAGCTGAGACTAAGTGTGCAGCTTTTTGATATAGAAGAAACTTTTCGATCTGATTAAACAAACTCTTCGAACTCAGAGACTGCAAAAGGTAGAGTATAAAAAGTTGGTATTTGGAAACAGAAAGAGAGAGAGAGAGCGAAAGAGAGAGGGAGAGGGCGAGCGAGGCCTTAGACTAAGTGAATAGCAATTTGGTATATTTTAGAAAACCTTTTAGATGTACGATTTAAATTTAGTGTAAAACATTTATTGATAGCTCGTTCGGGAGGTACAAATGTAATTTATACATAAACATAATGATTGACTTCTAAACATGGTGCACATACATAATATAAGCATCAATCCAGAATGCTTCCTTAAATCGACTTTAGGTCGTTGCTTAATGATTTTGAATAGAATTGATGGTTGATGGGGAAAGTTGTTTCTAATAGAGTTCCGCCTTCTGCATGACGGCTTCGACGAGCGCTTTGAAAGCGTCCTCGATCATCGTGATATGCAGCTGGGCGTCCCGGTACGAGCAGAGCTTGGCGCTCTCGGTGAGCGGCATTTGCATGGTGGTGACGCCCAGCGACGATTGCGAATGGAGACTCCGGCCGGTGTTCATCAGGATGTTGACACAATCGTCGGCGAGAATGGGAAACGTTTCGACGAATCGAACCATCGCGGGCAGCACGTTGCGCAGAAACTTGCACTTGGCCGACGAGGTGAGCAGCGAGAGCGTCGTCTGGATCACATTCAGACAGAACTTGGAGACGCCCAGGCTCTTGGGTATCGAATAGTTGAGCACCAGATGCGATGTCAGCTCAATCGTAAAGATCTGCTTGTCCATTTCGGTGACATTGAGGAACTCGTGCACGAAATCGATGCAAATGTGCATCGAGGGCACGCTGGCGACAATCATGGGTATTACGGATTTGGGATATGTCTGGAAGTGCACCAGCTTGGCCAGGGATGGCTCCGTGATGAATGCCTGATGCACGTAGGTGCCAATGATGCCCTGAATTTCGCGCAGCTCCAGCTTGGCGACTCGCGTATCCGCCTTGCTGTCCATATAGTCCAGCACCTCGAGCAGTATGTGCACCGCGGCGCTCTCCTGCGATGCGATCAGCGTCGTCTTCAGCTCCTCCCGATCGGCGTCCGTCTGCACCAGACCGTTCTTGTCCAGCACCTGCTTCTGCTGCATGTGCACGTTCAGGTACGTCTTGGACGCCGCCAGGCTGCCCTTCAATATCCGCAGCAGTATGACCAACATGTACGGCGAACAGAACACCTCACGCGGGCAGCTGCAAAAGAATTACGCTCCATTTAATGGGTATTCATTGGGATTGGGGTATAACACACGATGCAACAGACAGCGACCAACTCTGAGGATTTAGTTAATGTCGAGGAACATGAGGGCACAGCCAAACGTGAGCACCAGCCATATATCAGAGAGGGACGGAAAGAGCGAGCGAGAAAGAGAGAGAGGGAGAGGAAGATAGCTAGCCCTGACCTGGAGCTCACTTTTATGCTTGCCCATGAATTGTTCTCATATCAAAATTTCCCCAACTCCGCTGTTGAGCCACAATCTCCAACAGCACCTGGCTATTGTATACCCTGTACCCACACGAAAGGGAAGGGTATATTGGTTCTACACAATATCCATACATGCGAAACCTAAAAAAATTCATAGATGTTGCCCGCAGATAGAAGAGTTATATAAAATAACTTGTCGAGATTCCCGAAACTCCTACAGTTTTGCATTCATAGACTAAACACAGTTTTAGAGCCATTTTAATTAGGTTTTCCTCAACTACAAAATCTCGGATCTGCTCTCATAAGTGAATTAATTTAAAAACACTTTTTGCCCATTCTTTACTCTAGTCTCCTGCCTTACAGTTTATGAGCCACAGTTTGGCAGTCACTTCATTTGCTTTTGGCATGTTATTTTTGTTACCGTACATAATTATCTTAATCTCCTGCAAAGTTTAGGTATCAGTTTAGGAACCACAGTTTAGGAGTCACAGTTTGAGAGTCATTTCATTTGCTTTTTTTATGTTACTTTTGTTTTAGCCTTGAGTCACGTCTTATTTTGGCTACATTATTATGTTAATCTGTTAAAGATTTTAGGAAACAGTTTAAGAGCCACAGTTTAGGAGTCACCGCTTTGTAGACACTTCATTTGCCTTTGGCCTATATTTATTTAAGAATCAACTGACTTCTATTTTCGGCTACGCAATTGTCTTAAGCTCCTACAATTTTCAGCTTACAGTTTTAGAGTCATCGTTAGAGAGTTACTTAACGCAATTTATTGATTATACCTTTTTACCATTTTCTACAGTTTTAGAGCCAAACTTTTCAGATTATACTTTTGTAGTTTGAGAGTCCCCAGATTTGCACTTCAGATAAATTCAAAACTGCGAGTGGCGTGCGCCCACTTGAGCAAATACTGATGTTTCCACACATTGAGTTAGTCTTAAAATTCACAGTTAGAGCCACAGTCATTTAGCCGACAGTTTTAGAGTCACCTGTCAAGTGCTTAGTTCCAATTCTGGCTATTTAGTGGCTTTAAGATCTTCTAAGAGCGGCTAACGCGCCTGCTGGTATACCTATATATCACACAGTTTTAGAGCTACTGTCACGACAGTTCTAGAGTCACGTGACAATTGAATTATTGTAGAAGAATTTCAATTCTAAGTGTTAAAGAAGCTTATGCTGATGGGCCTGAGATATAGTATACATATAACACACAGTTTTAGAGCCACAGTTTTAAAGTCACCAACCAAATTGGCAATTCGTTAATTGTGAGATCTTAAAACAGCGAAAATCTGGTAGACCCCTGAAAACTTCAGTTCTCTTTTCAGTGGCTTTTCATGCTGTCTTGCTGTCTCGCTCAGATGCATGGTGTTTAGGGATAAGGACATACCTGAGCACATCCATGGGCTCCAAGAGGCTCTCGTTGGCGAAGGTGCGTCGATTGAGGGCATCCGAGTTGTTGGTGATGGCGCGCAGGGACATGATCCAGAAGGTGGTGGGCAGGACGGCATTCAGGCGCAGCCAGAGATCGTTGTACAGATCCTTGACATAGCGCGGCACATCCTTCTGGAAGACATGCGGCAGATGCTGCACCAGCTGATGGGCATACTGAGCCAGCGACTCGGGCGGCAGCTGGAGCAGACGCTTGAACAGTCGTATCGCCAGGCGGGGCTTCGTCTTGATGGTGTCGAGAGCGCGGGTGAGCAGCTCCGGCTTGAGATCATACCAATGATCCGACTCGAGGCTGCTGTTGGCCAAATAGTGCTCCTCCAGCCAGTCATCGACCATGCTCAGATGCGGATAGTTGGAGATGATGAGCCGCAGCAGCGGATGGAAGAGCGACAGATAATCGTTGTGGAACTGATGCGCCTTCTGCAGCAGATACTTGAGCGGCAGGCCGCCCAGGAAGTTATTGGAGTACTCCTTCTGCTTGCGTCCGCCGAGGGCGCTGAGGTTCATCAGGCGCGTATCCTCGTA